TCGACAATACGCCCGACTAGTCATGAAGGTTTGGCCGGGGCGGATCTCGGAAGCTTCAGAGGCTCATTATGCAGATTGTCAACTGCAGAATGCAGGGACCCGCTTTGCCGGCTTTGAGCGAACAACCCCAGCAATGGACGGGCGGAGATCTTGGCTGTAAAAGCAATGGCACATTGTCCGCGTCCGAACCGGTTGTAACACATGCGCCCACCCAAGCCTCCTTCAATGGCTTGACCCACCAGCGAGCAGCCATCACAGGCAAGCATTGTACACTCCAGCCCTGGTTTAATTGTTAGCTTGGTTCTTGAGACAGGGGCCCTGGTCAAAACTTGGATTTGAGGCCTCAAAACACCGTGGAAAGCGATTTCAACGCTGATAATTTGCTATACTACTCAACAGCAACAGCTCTATTCAGCAGATGCTTTTTAATTTTAAGAGAATAGGCCGTTTGGTCGTGAGGTTTGACAGTTATGATCGGGACCTTCGTCTCCAGAATCGAGCTAATGATTAAACCAGGGCTGGAGTGTAAAAGTCACTTGGTGTATACACCATGCAGGGTCGGATGTGACCCTTCGTTGGTCCTCAGTTTACGCAGGTCAGTGATATACGCCCGCGGTTCCTTGTCCGGCATATTGGTGTGGGTCGATCTGTATCCCATTACCTATGTCGCATGTGAAAGGCCCAAGAAAGCACATTGTAACGATCCAATGATCCCGGGCTGTTCGACTGCACACAAAAGGTCAGCTCGCTGGAAGCAGCAACACTTGTTTGCTTCATATTCGGTTTGAATCGAAGCATTCTATGGACAAGTGATCAACAGACGCAATGAGACGTCAGAGGTTGCAATAAACCGCATATGCTTCCAGAACGAGATCAACATTCGACCGCTTGTCCTGAGTGGATAACGAAAGAAACCTACATGAACATGCAGACCGCTTGTCGGCATGTGCATTACGCTCGATGTAGAAGGCAAAGCAACATGTCAACAGTCGAATAAGGATCAAGGGAGATAGCGAGTGACGTGTCGCAGGCAGAATATAATTCTTGAACAATCGACAAAGGGAAGAAGTGACTCATCTGGCGATCAGGTCAACAGGCTTACCAAATCAGACCGATGTTTTGATAAGGTGGCAACCTGGAAGCTTACGACTCGCTTAGGGGCGAGGATAATAGTGGGTTGACGAAGTTTGACCCAGACCGCACTGACGGACGGACATACCGAGCCACATCCACTCCGATCGCCACAACCCACACACGCCCAGACAGGGCCCATATTGCATGTGGCTACCCTCTCGTGCTATTCAAGATCCGTAGCTATCCTCAAGATCGAAGTTGGTAAAGCTAGCATGTTGGCGGCTCGGCGTATCTAGCACCTCCTCTTCCCCGCCTCCTAGAAGGAGAATCGACGAGAGGCCTTCAACGGATTCATCAGATCACCAGTGTCAAAATGTTGGTGATCTCCTGTCGAATGTCTCCTCATGATTGAGTTGTCCTTTTCGCGGGAGGTATGACGACTTTCGGTCGAAAATGCGTTGCTGAAGAACCCAATGGCAATTTGCAGTTTTACCTTGTTGAAGCCGGTGACCAGTTCATAAAAAGCTTGCATAGAATATAGACTAGCTGCTTGACCACCTATGTCCATCGCTTGGTTGAGCTCGGGTTGATTGTGAAACCTCATTGTGCACTGGACAACGAACGAACGAAACATAGTAGAAACGACGTCGTAGAAACTCGTAAGCCGGGAAACCGGGTATCTTGTCTGTTGACTTCCATACTCACCGCAAAGGTGCCTGCCTTCTGAAAGGAAAGCTCCCCCACGGTGAGCTAGCTACCCAGCTAACATTGTCCACCGCTGCCTGGCGACGATCTCTGTCAGCGAGCGCCTGTTCGACGCCCACTCCTCCAAAAGGCCGTATCTCTGCTCGCTCCACACGCAGCCAGCCCTTCCAGTCAGCCGTGACGGCGACCTGGGCAGACGTGGCGGCAGACACACTCCCGGCCGGGTTCAGTCCGCCCCCGATCACCACGGTGCCCCACCACTCACGGCCGCGACTGGGGTGCGTGCCATAGAGCATGTATTGCTCGACGGAGGCGACACAGCTGGCGATGTGCGCGGCGCTGCCACGGACAGGGCGCAAGATGTGAACGTGGTCGAGGTCTGCGCGGCGGAGGAAGGGTTTCGGCTGCGGCCGGTTGGCGGTGGCTACCTCTTCAAATGGCGATGTCGTAAGCAGTCGCAGTGGATCGAAGCGTCCTTCAAAATCGATGATAGAAATAGCCTTGCTGTGCGGTGAGGCAATCAAGGTTGCGACCAGGACGTAGAGGAGCTCATAGTAGCGCCCCGAGATTGCCAGCGGCGCCGACTGTGTTGAACGGAAGTGGCGGGTGACGAGCTCATTGAGGCGGGCGATGGGGAAATAGTTAAGTCGCGTAGCAATCGGGGGAAGGGCGAATGGTGCATTCCGATATTCACTGTTTGTGTTTGCGTTATTGGAGGCTGCCGCGAAGATTGTGCGGAGGGCTGTCAAGATCTAAGATGGGAAGGAGGGGGGACGTCAGTTTTGTTATCGGGAAGGAGCGCGGCGGGACAGGAAACCTCGATTAAGCAAGCAAACAGCCCCCGGACCATGACGACGCGAGTCCGCTCAACCAGCTTTCCAGACACCGACCATAGCGCGCTGCAATTGATGGGCACGCGGCTGTGACTTGTGACATACCTCGTCTAAGCTTCCCTCGTCGATCTCGCTCAGCACGCGAGCCCCAATACTCGAGTCCGAGGCTACAGCAGCCCTCGGCATTTCTGCTCATTCATTGCCTCGCAACGCGCGACCACCGTTCTGCTTCGCAATCCAAAATGCCGCCGCCCAGCCAGATATTTCCTGCCAAGGACCTGCTGTCGCAGGTACAGATCGGACCTGATGGGAGGAAGCGGAAGACGGCCGACGGGCGGGGGATTGACCTGGCCAAGGATTGCGAGCTGCTCAGCTTGCTGCAGTATGAATGCCACGTCCTTCATCCGGGTATCCGCGACAGCCCGGTGCAGTGCTGGCCGATCACGCGATGGTTCCGCAGGTGAGTTCCAGGAGCTCTTTCGCATTCCGTTTGGTTGCTTGGGTCATGGGGTAGTGATGCAATGCATCTGTTTGCGGGCTGTGTAATTGGACGTTGTCGCTAACGAATTGATTGGTAGGTGTCAGGACATGAATGGTAGATTTACGGTCGAGACGACAGCTTGGGAAGGAACAGCTGAGGCAGCATCGGGAAGCACTACATCCACACCGGGCGCACAGAGCAATCACCAAGTGCCAACTGAACAAGCCAGCAAAACGTCCCAAAGACTTGTTACAGCAATAAATCATATTTAAAGAATTGTTGCCAGTGTGCTCTTGTGATACCATCCACTCAACTGCAACTTCAAGTGAAATAACCTACCCATCAACGTGGTTTGTTTCGAGTGCTGCATCCGTCATTACTGCGCCCATTTCTCCTCAATATCCCACTTCGTCTCAAGGTCATCATCTCCGCGAAGTTATGATATTTTATGCGACTCAATTGCTGGCTCTCGGTCGGCTCTATCCATATGCATACAACAGGCGCTCCGTTTCCCCTGCGCTCCCCATGCTTTATGTACCTGCTCCCTCTGTCCGCCGTCTACCATCACCAACCACCGTCTTTCATTCGTCATCCATCTAGAGGGCGGCCTTCGCGGCGCGGGTCTCCTCCAGCTTGGAGTAGTAGTTGTCACGCTTCTGCGTGCGGGGAACGTGGTAGCCGTACCTATCGACATTATCATGTTAGAGCTTGCTCAGTCGAGTCGTTTTCGCGTTTCGAGGAGGGAAGGTTCATCGTGCGTCGTACCAGAAGGCGTTTCCAAAGACGAATCCGAGACCTGCGCGGGCAATCGACATTAGCATGCTGTGAGTGATCCAGGAGGGCGATGGAGACGATCGCCAGGCGGCGGCGCAATTGGTTGTCATAGGAGGGTGTTAAACTCACCAAGTCCTATTCCGAGGTCAAGGATGAGCGTCCGGCGGAGCATCTACAACAACATTGTCAGCTCAGCTCAGCTCCAGCTCCAGCTCCGCTCCCGCCCAGCCGAGGGCAAGCAAAGCTTCGGTCGCGGCGGGCAATTGGCAGCCATTGGAGGCGTCCGCGCGGGCAAAAAGACGTACGCCGGTGATAGGCTGGATCGCGGTCATTTTTGTAATGTGTTCTGCGAAGCTCGAGAGGGCGTGTGTGGAGTGGAGAGAGGATCTGGCGATCGTGGGTGGTGCGCGGTTTGACGGACCCTTAGTCAAATTCGAGCTTCAAACCGATGACCTGATGTTGTCGAAGCTTGTGAGCTGCACGTGACCCACAACGGGCGGGCGGGTAGCAGGCAAGTGGGTGACAAAAAAAGCGGGACACCAAAATCGGTTAACGACAACTAAGTCACGTTAACTAACCTCAAAAATTCCAGGGAAATTCTCTCTTACTAAAAGACTTTGGGACTTTTAGCCTGCAAGTTTTGGAAGAATTTGTAGTAGCTTTGGCAGAGAGGTTAGTGCTTGGATACTCCCAAAATTGACACTTTTGCGGGCACGGACACTTTTAGTGTCTCGCTTTTTTTGTCACCCACTTAGCAGGGCGGACTGGGGGGCCGATGCTCGGTAAATCGGAGTATGATTAAGTAATCGCGGCCAAGACTTTTTATTGTTGTTGACCAGTAGTTAGTTGTGATGCTGTTTCCAGTTCCCTCATCAGCCTTCGACAGACGAGAACACCGTTGCAACTCGATGCACTAAACAGCTTTCTATAAAATTATTACCCGATAATTAGTACCCGTTGGCTTTTACTTTTCTGGGCCATATCATGTTCGTCTTGTAGTTTCGCATCCATCATGATCAAAAAACTTGCCCATGTCTTTAGACTAACTGACTTGATTGACTTTTTGATTGAGCCTTTGAAACGCAAAGTTTGGGCTCATGAGCCAAGCAAAAAGATACAATAGAAAGATATTATGGGACATGTGAGGCTCGAACTCACGACCTTTGGATTGTTCTAAATTTTAATTAGATCATACTCTATATGAGACCAACGCTCTACCAACTGAGCCAATATCCCTAATTGATGGAGTTGTGGGTGACTGCAAGACCTTATCGGTTGACGCGGGCGGGCGGGTGTGAGTGCCAAGGTGGGGAGTTTAGCCAATTGCTGTGGAACCTTCCCTGACGGCTTGAAGTTTGAACGATGCGTTTAGATAAGAGAAACGGCAAAATCCATGCTGTTCAATAAGCTCGTAAGTTTCTATGAGCTTTTCTGGTACTAGGATCTGTCTATTAGCTTGACGAGATTTTGATCGCCTGGGTACCCATTGCTGAAAATCTTGATACTACATTACACACTCTACCTCAACAACCCAGACTTTACGAGAACATTCGGTTTGCGTTGAGATGAAACAATTATAATTCAGTTACATGGAGGTTCTTGTTTGTGCACTCCTAAGTTCTCAGAAAACTTGAGACCACAGCAACTGTCAGATCAGGTTACTTGAGGGTAGGAATCTGACAAAAGCCCCCATTTCTTCAGCCAAGATAGAAGTCATGAAATCAGCTGGGAAGTTAGGAGTATGCGAGAGGTGAAGATATTGGATACTTGGGCATGTAGGCTATGACTCGTTTTAGTCATGAAATTCATTTTGAATGAGGTCATGTCCAAGTCGTATGAAAGGATCTCGATTTCAGGTGGCTTACTGATGGCATGTAAGACAAATGTCACAAGTGGTACAACCAAGGCATATGAACCTCCAGGATGTGATTACTTTGCGCCGAGTAACGTTAGTGCCGCCCCATTTTGAGATGAAGAACCTTTTGACAAAGAATAGTACCTAGTACGTAGTGACACAAGGTCATAATCGTTTCTTATTTCCCCCAGGTGCCGCCGTGACGTGACATGAGTCATACGCAGCAATGGCAAGGTAGCCCCCAAAGTCTGACTGCCATAATGTCTGATCGTATGAGTGTACAGGAATCTTGGGTCGTAATCAAGGGCTTATTTGCCTAGAAGTTGGTGATAACAGTCGTCAGGTGTCATTGATAGACCATAAACTCATGTTAATCAAGTGAGCGAGGCACAGGAGGTAATTTGCGACTTGATGGCTGTCCTTCTTAATCCAGCTCAGATTGAAAGGGGTCACCGTATGGGGGCACACTCTGTATATACAACGTGCAAACATGAGTCAGGACATCGGCGTACTTTGATAGCCCAATTTCCAGCAGTGGTGAGTGAGCAACCACACCGAAACAAGAGTAGTACAGATACCACCAGATGGAAGATGGGGGTCCGACAGTTTCTATGGGATTGGCATCGGCCTTACTGTCCTCAGAATGCGTAGAAGCAATAGTATATGGAAGTCAACGAGATAGTTGGTGGTTGGCGGTCGTTTATGTTGAGCCGCATATCGGCATCGCCTTACGACAACGACATGCGGCGCGGAACGAGATCAATGAATGTGTGTGCTCTTATAGCCCCCAATAGGCAGACGCATGAGTCTTGGTACCACGCCGCAAGCCCCCGTCATCTTAAGTCCCGTGTGATGTGCGACCGACGGTTCCCTCGGATTGGGACCCGTGGTACCTGCGTTCCCGTCGCTTATGCGGGCGCCGACCACAAATCCACCGATTGACAGACCAACATGGTCAGTTCAATCTCATAACAGATTTTAGCAAAGAGAAGGAGTAGGGATATTATTACCCAAGGTTTGGAGAAACACCAATGTAGACTGCACGTGTCCACAGCTGAGCAAATAAATAAGCAAAAACTGGTTGACTTGAATAAAGTGCAAATGGCTTCCAGTCTTGAAACGGTGCCGACTGGGCTTGGGCTATAAAAAGGGAAAACCCCCACGAGGGCGCTCGGGGTCGACAGCCTTAGCCGTTGGAGGACTTGGGACGATCCCGGCTCATCGACCCAGCGCATAAACGGGCAATTTCGTATGCTTCTACAACATGTGGCGTAGACTTCGATACCTTGCGGTTATTCCCGCGCATATGCGCCGTGATATAGGGTAGCTATTGTTTCCGATAGATATTAACGAGAATTGGGCGACATGAATAAGGCAATCTTTGTCTGGCAAACGTATGAAATGGACATTGAGGAGGTGGGGAGAAGCTTCATAAAGCTTAGGTATGCTTGAAGCCCCTGTGCTACCGTAACCATAAGCGTGCTGGGGCGGGGTAACTAACCCCGCGGAGGGGCATCCATCCGATTGACAATGGGCCCCTGGGGGCTTTCGGATGTGACACAAAAGCAATTTTACTCGGTGGGTGGCGTCCTGTTGTGCTTCAGGAAAGAAAAAGGGCCAGCATTGACAGGAGCACAGATATCATCAAAGACGATCGTTTCTCCTGCCTCTGCTGTCTCTGTTTCTAACAAGACAAGGCTCGCCAATCAGTCCAGGAGTGAAACGATGTCGGACGACCAGCCTCCAGCGGAATCCACCAAGCAGGGCAAGCCACCAAGGAGATTTCGGAGCTGAACCCCACAAACCCGGCCATTGCATGCGCGTCTTTCAAATGCGCCCCTGAACACGAAAATGGAGAACATCCTCCGCCCTTTTGCAGGAGTGAAAAGCCTCATCGGCACTCGGTCTTTTTTCTCAGGGAGTATTAGTGAAAGTTGAAAGTCAAAGATCTCCTGGTAAAGCGGTAGCTCGGCGGGTAAAGGGGTTGATCGGCTTTCACACATCAGAGGGCGTCCGTCCATCACAAACATGACGACGCACGTCAGCCAACTGCCATGCCCCGGACCATTGGGTTGGTGGTTGGCAGGCACTTATCACCAATTGGGAAAGCGGTGAAATTCTGAAACCAACCTAGCAAAGGCCGTCCCGCACGTTAGCGCTTGGCTTTACCAGCATTGGCGGCCACGTAAACGCTGAATGGACGACGTCTCGTGGCCCCATGCTGGCGATCGCATTGTTCTGGCATCCACCAAACTGCGACGTCGAGAGAGCAACAAGTAGGGGATGAAAGAAAGAAAGTGTTTGGAGGCGACTTTCAACTCCACGTGAGGAGAGACAATGCATTCGGCTGGCAGACGGCACAGAAGGGAGCTGCTGCACGCTCTCCAGCCCAGCCCAACAGCGATGGCAATCCCTGCCGACCCTCCGGCACCCCTCGAGTGGCTGCCGCCGGCCCTCCCTGCCCCGCAGCCAGAAATGGAGCTTGGGATTCGTGGAAGCCGTGGCTGAGAACGGCTCACCCCTGCGCAGATCGTCTGATGCGACTACCCCGAAAAGAATCGTGCGAACGCTAGGCGAAAACCGAGTGAAAAAGAGGGCAACTTGTTCAGACGACGAGAGAAACCACGGGTCATACGCACGAGTGTGTTATCCGCTCCTCACTGCCTTAGTTGGTGGGATGGGAAGCTGAGGTGGTTGCCACCCACCAGATTTCTGGAATATATCCCCTCCAGAAGGGAAGAAGGTAACTTGGCTGCATGGAACGGCACGAGGTGCTTTGCATGCCGTCCTTCTTCGCCCCATCAATACATGGGATATCGCCGGGTAGGAGGGGTGCTTACGAAGGCAGTTGTCCCGCCCTTTCAGCATTCGGCAGCTGCCTTGTGAGCTTGCTTAGTTGATCCCGGGAAACTTCAGGCGCCATTAACGACGGGCAATAATTAGTCGGAATGGCAATAAAACAGATAATAAGCTGCTTGCTCGTGGAATTGCCATGTTTGTCAATGGCGACGATAGGTCCTCAAATACCTATGGACCTATGCTGGTGCCCGTCGTGTTGGCTAGCAATGGAACTTGACAGTACAACGCTAGCACCAACTGCTTGGTTCCGATGCTGTAAGTCGCTCTTATGGCGTGCGGCGTCCATGGTCGAGGACTGCAGTTTTTAGCTGATGGCTTGGCAGGGGTCAAGACTCCAGGGCACTGGACAAGGATATTCCAGTAAATCCAGTTGGGGAAGGGGCTGAGCTGAGAGGGGATACCACCAGAGGGCCAGGACAGATTTCCATGTAAGCCAGCAGGTGTGTACGGGATACGCAGGCAGGTGCATGTACGGATCCCATGTTCGTGCCCGCCTTCATCATCCCAAGTCGCAAGCGACAGATGGTAACGCAGGTCTCATGCCTCCTTCTGCGGCGCCATTCCCCGCCCTTTCCATTCCTTTTATTATATGACTGGAGGGGCCGCGGGGTCAGGTTGGCAGGTCATGGTGTGGAGACTTTCATCCTGTCCCCCATTCAGGAAAGCGCGCCTACTGTCCGTCGATCGTCGTCGAGGATAGCTCCTTCCTTGTCCCTTTTACCCTTGGGTCTTCCTTTTTCCCTTCTAACCTTCCAATTGAAGCCTCCTTCCACTCCTTCCCACCTTCTTTTCTGCAAGCGGCGCTATCTTTGTTCTCTCAAGGGGGCGTGCCGTCTTCGCGTCGTCGTCTTCTTCGTCTTCTCTCTCTCTCTTTTGACAATCCACAATCCAAGGGAGTAGTAGGAGCCCTTCTTCGATTCTCTTCATTGCATTCCACATTTCACATTCCAGTCGTCGACTTTCACCTCTCCTTCGCGTACATACTTTCAACGACTCTTACGTCAGCCCTTCACCTTTTTCTCTCCCTGGATTACTATTTCTTTCGGGGGTGATTGAGCTCGGTCTGCCTGTCTCTCTGTCAGCAACCCACGCCTCGCCTGGAGTTGCGATACGTGTACAGACCGCACCACCACCATCACCGACTTTACGCCGACAGCTGAACGGCAATGGCATCGGTTGTCCCACACTAGGAAATTCGTCCTACACACCCTCTCCATAAACATTGACGTGGAACTTTTGACACTTCTTGCCGTCTCCTGAGCATTTCTTCCAGGAGAAGAACTGCACCTGGTCTTCTCGATCGCCACTTTCGACATTCTCTTCAAAACTATTTACCAAACCGCCCCTCGGCTTGAAAATCTCCTTTCTCGCTCAACGACCATTTTCACCATGTTGGCAATTTGGTCTTTGATGCTGCTTGGCGCGGCGACTCGCGCTGGTGCTCAGACTATCGACAGTCTCCAACCTTGCGGAGTAAGTCTTGCATCTAATTGAGCTCCCAGATTCACTCACGAGGTGAACT